GCTGATGTTTGCCCTGTTTGTCTTTGCAGGGCCCGACCTTCCATCATATCCAGGAGATTGTGCTGCAGCTCCTGCGTATCGTCAACCGCAAAGTCATCACCCTGGGCCGGGAACATGCCCTCATCGTGAGTCCCCGCCCCTGCCGCCGCCCAGTCCTGCTGCTGCTATAGCAACGTGCACTCTCCTCAGTCAGGGACACACCCACATGGGCCCACAGAGACCCGCCCCTCCTGCAGGGTCTGGTGAATCTGCTGTGTTAGAGACACACAGGGCAGATTCCTGGGCTTTTTCCAGGAGTGAGGCTCTTCACTACTGCAAAAGGCTCCAATCCTGAGTTTCAGGGGACCAGTGCCAGCATGATCCCATCTCCCCACAACAGAGGTGCAGAGCTGATATGACATGGACTGTGGGTCACTGGCTGTGCCATTTCTCATTTAACATTGGCAGTGTTCAGGTCTGGGCTGTCCCGCAGATCTCAGGGTCAAATCTTCAGTGTTCAGGTCTGGGCTGTCCCGCAGAGCTCAGGTCAAACCGGTGGTGTTCAGGTCCAGGCTTTCCTGCAGAGCTCAGGTCAAACCTGCAGTGTTCAGGTCAAACCAGCTGTGCTCAGGTCTGGGATGCCTTGCAAAGCTGTAGTGAAGGGCGTTCAGAAACAGGGCTGTCTCCCCAGTGGTTACGGGAGACAGAGAGGCGCATGTAATTGAGCAGTTTATCACCAAGAGAGTGACTCTGGCCAGGGGCAGGGGGAGGGGAGCTTCATAACTCTGTCGTGTTCAGGAGATTTGCTTAACGTGCTTTCGTCTGGCAGAATGGAAAAGCCGTTCTTCCTGCGGTGCTGAGGCCAGAGGCTCAGATCTTGTCATGGTGATGAAAGGCTGCAGCAATCAGCTTCAGGGTCAGTTTCACCCAGCAGGGCTGGGACACAGTCACACACATCCTGCACACTGCAGGGCTGGGACACACAGACACACACATCCTGCACACTGCAGGGCTGGGACACACAGACACACACATCCTGCAATACTGGGACACACAGACACACACATCCTGCCCACTGCAGGGCTGGGACACACAGACACACACATCCTGC